AATAAGATGTTAAAATATTGAATATTGCTGCAGCTTCCTTTCTTTGAGTCTCTTTGTTCTCTTTATTCTCCCATTCTTTTTTTTCCCGTTCTTCGTCAATTGGCATTAGAAATTGCTTCTCACTTCTCTTGTTACACAATACAACAACAAGCCTTATTCCACTAGGTGGAGTCGGTTACATGAATCGCATGACGCCAATGTGCTCTATCAACAACCAAGTTCTTAGGTATGTTGTTGACCAGGAGGTCCCGTTCAATGACCTTGTTGAGTGTTCTTCTCAGCCTTCTTCTGCCCCTTTTTATATGACTCTAAACTGTCTTATCTACCCTTCTCACCGCAGCCTCCAATGGCTTTCTCTGCATATTCCCGAACCACCTTAAGTAATGTTCAACCATTTTCTCTTCGATCGGGGCTACGCTTACTCTTGCTCAGATAATTTCATATAGAATATTATCCTTTCTTATATGACCACACATCCATCTTAACATTCTCATTACTGCTACCCCACCTTTATGCTATTGTTTTCCCTTTAATGCCCAACATTCACTGCCATACAAAATAACTGGTTGTATGGTAGTTCGATAAGATTTTTCCTTAAGCTTCTCAGGTATCTTCTTATCGCAAATAACTCTGGTAGCCTTCCTTCACTTTAACCAATCAGCTTGTATTCTATGCAAAACATCGCCATCAATTTCACTATCTTCATGTATAATGGATCCTAGATATTTGAATTTTGACACTTGAGGAATGATTTGATCTCCCATCTTCACCTCCAAATCAACATTGCATTGCCTCCGCCCGAAATTGCAATGCATATATTCCGTCTTGCTCCTGCTCAAATGAAAACCTTTTGACTCAAAGGTCCTTTTCCATAACTCTAATCTAAAGTTAATCTCTTCTTTTGATTCAGTCATGAGGACTATGTCATCTGTGAAAAGCATGCACTTAGGGGTTTTTTCTTGAATAAGTTTTGTTGGAACGTCTAGAATAATATTACACAAGTAAGGACTCAAAGAAGATCTCTGATATAGGCCAATCTTAATAGGAAAGTCCTTTGTCTCACCTCTAGGCGTTCTCATGCTAGTAGTTAACTCTTCATACATATCTCATATGGCTTTGATATAAGCAACTTGTACACATTTCTTTTCCAATGCCTTCCAAAGTACTTCCCTTGGCACACGATCATAAGCTTTTTTCAAGTCAATAAAAACCATATGTAAATCCTTTCCTTTACTCCTATATCTTTCATTAACCCTTTAATAAATAAATTGTTTCTGTTGTAGATCTCCCCGACATAAATCCAAATTAGTTCTCCAAAATAAAAGTCTCCAACCTCAACCTATGTGTAATTATTTTTTCCCACAACTTCATCGTATGGCTCATAAATTTTATTCCCCTATAGCTTGCACAATTTTCATTATCTCCTTTATTTTTGTAAATAGGAACTAAAGTGCTTTTCCTCCATTCATGTGGCATATTCTTGGAGTAAAAAGCTTGGTCGCCCACCTTTCCCCCTCCTTGCCTACACATTTCCAAATTTCAATAGGAATACCATCAGGTCCAACGGCTTTACCATTATCCATTTTCTTAAGAGCTGCCTTAACATCTCCAATGCGAATCCTACACTAAAAGGCTAACTTCCAATCATCTTCACTAATTAGCAAGTCCTCCAAGTTTTGAGTTGCACATTCGCTTCCCTCATTAAACAGCTTGTAAAAGTAAGCCTCCCATCTATCCTTAATATTCCATCAGTAACTAGAACTTTACCTTCTTCATCTTTTATACACCTCACTTGGTCCAAATCTTTCTTTTTTCTCTCTCATTGCTTCGCAATCTTGTAAATGTTTCTTTTCCCCACCTTTATTCTTAACTCCTTATAAAGCTCCTCATATGCTTTAGAACGTGCTTCATTCACTACTCTCTTCTTCTCTTTTTTAGCCAAACAATATTTTTCCCAGTTTTCACTCACCATTACACAAATGTATAGCCTTAAAACAATCTCTTTTCTACCTGACTTTCTCTTGTATGCTCTTATTCTACTGCCAAGTCTCCTTGTGTGAGGACCATGACCTTTAGATTCTCCCAAAATTGTTTTAGCAACCATACGAACCTTCTTAGCCATCTCTTCCCACATAATGTTAGCATTTCCTCGCAACTCCTAGATCCCTTCCTCCAAAAAGGTCCTTTTGAAAAACTCTCGCTTCTCACCCCTTAACTGCCCCCACCTAATCTTGGGGTTTACCACTTGATAATACTTTTGTCTGATGCTCTTAAAACGCACATCAGAGATAAGTACCCTGTGTTGGGCAGTCACCCCATCCCCAAAAATCACTTTGCAATTAGTACAAAGTTTTTTGTCCAGATTCTTAACCAAAAAGAAATCAATCTATGATTTAGAGGCTCCACTCTTGTATGTGATTAAATGCTCCTCTCGCTTCTTAAAACAAGTGGACAATCTTGAGATTATATACAAGAGAAAAGTCAAGAATAGCTTCTCCTCCATTATTAAGCTCTCTAAAACCCAAACCACCATGAGCCCCAGCGAATTGTCTTGCATCCTTGCTGACATGTCCATTAAGATCCCCACCAATAAAAATATTTTCTTCAAGTGGTATGCTTTGAACCAACTCCTCCATATCTTCCCAAAACTTATTTTTAAGATGTGCCTCTATCCCAACCTGAGATGCATAAATGCTAATGATATTGATAGTGTTCTTTCCAACAATTAATCTTAAAGATATAGTTATGTCCTTAAACCTCTTAACCTCCATCACATTCTTCTTCCATGTTCCATAAACTTCTCTTATACATAAACCTCTTAAATTAACCTTCAAAATCTTCATAATTTTTTTAAAAACTATTTTACACTATTTTCGCGTTCCTCCCATCGTAAATTGCAAATTAGTAGTAGAGCGCTAACAACTAATAATAGGCCATATATATATATGTGTGTGTGTGTGTGTGTGTGTGTGTGTGTATGATTGGCAGAATTTAGCGCAAAACGGCGGATATGTATTCTAAAAAATCTGTTTTTTTTCTTAGCATAAAGTTCCAAAACTTTCCCAAACATAAAAAGAAATGCTAAAAGAAAGAATAAATTATAGAGTATATCATAGAAAGAATAAATTATAGAGTATATCATAGAATCTTCCCATATACAAAATAATCGGAAAAAAACATACAAAAAAGAGTTTGTGCAATTTCTCACTATATGTATTTGGCTTTTTTTTTAAACATAATTCTTGATACAATCCCATAATTTTTTCATCTTCTTATAGACTCTTGGAATAATTTTTTGGGTGTGCAAACCAAAGAGAATGATGACTTGGAGTTGTACCAGTCTGAAATTGAGCATATTTGTTTTCGTCCCATAATCCCCCACTATGTATACATAAAATACATTATGTATCTGTATACTTTTTTTCTTTACAGATCCTGTTTTTTTGAAACATGATACGATGTATTTGCGTTTTTCATAATTTTCTTTACTTTTATTCTTCTTCAATTTATATATATATATATATATATATCTTTCCATAAACAATAAATTCAATAAATAGTAAAATAGGTATATCACAACTTAGCAATTAGCTTTGTCTTTGAGTTTGAAACATCTAAAAGTTTACAATGAAAAACTCGAATGGATTGTTAATTGACGCAAAATAATTTAAATTATGAATCAGTAATAATAAAATTCATTAATTCTAACATATAAATTAGAGAAATCAAGTAAACAAAGATAGGAGATAAGCTTTAGGGACCTTAAGATTGTGGAAGATTTGACATGGACTAAACTGCAAAAATGTAAGTTTTTAAGGGAAATAAATTGTATAAATGTTTTAGAAGTTGTCAAAGTAACATTGAGCCACATTTTTAGGTAGTAAGTGACAAAACCCATAATAATCCAACAACAAACCTTATCCCATCAAGTAGGTGGTAAGTATTAGCTATGTGAATTGTACTATATTATTTTTCTCTACCAATAATCAAATTTTTAGATAGATTGTTAACTGAATAGTCCCATAAAATTTTCATATGATATACTAATAGCCTAAAGGAAAATAACAGAAAAAAATCCTGTCGTAAGCATAAGTGGTTAAATTTAAATCCAACCTGCACGTTTCATGGTGCAATTGAATATGCACGGAATGGATCTTGTGAGACAAAGCCTAATTTATTATCACGATATCTTAGTAACCTTATAAGTAAGTCATGGCCGAGTATATATGTAAATACATTTGAGGGTTTTTTGACAAACTTCCAAAAAGGACTAAATAAAGTGGGTTTAAGTTACATATAATTGAGCTTAAGAGCTTGTAAAACATCAAATCACTTAAGAACATTATTATTGGGCCATGTTGACCGAAATTGATGTATTTAAATGGGGAAAAAGAGGGAAAAAATGTTGGTGAAGTTAAAATTAAAGGGGACACATACTAAACAGTTTTATTATATGTATCATCAATGCCACAATTTGGAGAACGGAACATGCTTATAGCCACACATACTAAATAACGAAGAAAACTTAAAACACAATTGACCAAATACAACGAACATGAGTTTGGAGCCTTAACGTGCCTTCCTTTAATTCTCTCTGATGCCGTGTGTAATATCCCAACTCCCTGAATCTTTTTTCATATTTTCTATTGATGATGAGATTGTATATAAAATTAGTGACATTTTGATATTTTACGGACAAAAAATAATGCAGTTTTGATTTTTTTTATTTTTAAAGGAAAAAAATACTCTAACATGTGCAATTTTGATTTCTTTAAAAAAATCATAAAATATAATGATCAAAAGAAAAATAAAAAGAACATTTGGAAGGTTGAGGCATCAGAATTGAGGGAGGATCCAAACCTAACAAACACTTGGTGACAAAGTGTTGAGAGATCATGTAACTACCCTCTTATATTTCATGTAACAAAGCATACTGAAAATAATATATATATTAGGATACTGTATTTGTATTTGTGAAAGAAGGCTAACGAGCATATGGCTTAGGGGGTTGATAGCTTTGGCTTTTGTGGCCTTGGATATGGAGGTCTTTGATCCGGTGGAATATTGATCGGCTTCCCTGGCTTCGCCTTCGGCATTACATGCTTCATTGAAGACCGGCAAACAAGTGGCTTTTCAATATCAAGGTGATCATTCATAAGGGGTTTACCTGTGGGTGAAGTCTCAAAAGGAGCTGATAGCTTCAGAGCAGATGGCCTTGGTGGCCTTGGAAATGGAGGTTTTAGATCAGGTGGAATATGGATCGGAGGTTTCAGTTTAGGTGGAGTAGTGTCCGGAGTCGGCCTTGGGATTGGTTTCCAAGCTAAAGGCTGGCAAACAAGTGGCCTTTTAACATTAAAGTGATCATTTATAAGGGATTTACCAGTTGAAGCCTCAGAATGTGGTATAATTCCTGGAAGTGATTTCTCTTGAGGCCTATAGTAATCTGCAAAGCTAGAAGTGATGAGAAACACCACTCCAAAAAGGAACATTAGAAAGTGTCTAGAGGACATTGTTGAACTCAATTTGTGTTCACAGTACGTACATGCCATACGCTAGGAGCTCCCATACAATTTATACTAAAACTAGGTCAGGGGCCATTGGTGTGGAGATATTATGAAGCCAAATATAATCATTATATTATCAAAATACATTTAATAAATAAATAATTAAAGTCCAGCTTGATAGATGTTAACTTTATTGCTATAACTTCACGCATTCATGTACATGGAAAATTGGGAATCCCTCTTTTGTTTAACTTCCTTGTAACGCTATTTTTATTTTCTTGTGCTCTTTGCAAGACTTAGTCAGTGATGCACATATTTAATATATGTGTGTTTGGATATCATCATGTTACTATATAGAAGAAATGAATTTCTGGCTTACGAGGAGCAGTAGCAATTCGATGAATTATTCCTAAAAATTTATATGAACATAATGCTAGTCGATGAGAGTTAATTCTCAAACAAGAAAAAGTAAAATTAAATTAACTTGATTGAGTTATTTCCCCAATTCAAAAAAAATAAAATAAAATATACAATTGGATCTAATATGCGTCGGTGATCAGAATGTATATGTGAATATAACTGACAACAGGTTCTCGAAAAATATGTAACTTCTGCTGCGCTGTTATCTTCTTTCTTTAGGTTCTTTAGGGTCCTTATTATGATGCAAATAATGAGATTGATTGATTGGTTGATGATATGGATATACAATGCTTACTGGCTGAGATTTGTGAGGTGAAAATGACTCTATTGGTCCCTAAAATAGCTCAAATAGCCAGGTTTTTTCATATGTCGTAAGGGTATACAAATTTTATACAGATCAAATCAGAGCATAAATTTTAAATGCAATATATTTCAAATAATACTTTTCATTTCCTTTCAACATATACACCACCTGATTTTGACCTGTATATAAAGGAGGAAAAAAAAAACTCTTCAAGTAGAAATAGGGATCAACATAATGCTTTGATTAATTTATAAAAGCGATTCAGATTATTGTTCTTGATTACAATTTCATTTCATAGGAATATCATAAGGAGACTTAACAATTTTGTCAATATCGCCATTTTGGATCTTGATTAAAAGCTGAGATTTGTGAGATTTCTATTGGTCCCAAAAATAGTTTGAATAGCCAGGTTTTTTCATATGTCGTTAGGGTATGCAAATTTTATACAGATCAAATTAAAGCCTAAATTTTAAATAATATATTACCTCTAGTTCTAATTATAAGATCTCATTTGTAATCTACAAACAAGATCTTTTAATTAGGACCGGAGGCAGTATAATATTGCAAATAATACTTTTCATTTCCTTTCAACATATACACCACCCGATTTTGACTTGCATATAAAGAAAAAAATTAACTCTTCAGGTAGAAATAGAGATCAATGTAATATTTTGATTTATTTTATTAAAGGGACTCAGATTACCAATTCTATTATATACTTAAATGTCCTTTTGAAATCTATAAAGAATGTAATTTTCTTACCTGGATTATGAAAAGCTTTTGTTTCTTTGAATATCTCTTCAATTCAGCATAAATGCTAATCTTTGGTAATGAAAAAGAGACAATATAATAAGACAGGACTAACATAACTTTCAACGAATCCCGCTGTCAAAACAAGAATTTTTTTCGTTACTCAACTAATTTAGAGTCCATTACTGATATAAACAGCTTAATCCAAGTTTTATCAAATTATTATATTATTGAAAGGAAAAATTAGCTTACTAGTCCTCGTAGTTTTATCAAATTTTCAAGCAGGTCCTTTTAATTTTTTTTTAATTGAATCCTTTTACAATATTTTGTTGAAGGTAAAAGTCCTTCTGTTAATAACAGTTGCCAACATCGTTAATGCTTGATGACACAGGGTGATGTGGCAATGCTTTCTTCCTCCCCTCACAGTAAACTCATGGCTCTCTCTCTCACATCAGGTCCTCTCTCATCTAATTCGGCATTTTTCAAAATGACCTCATTAAAATTTTTTCTTCCCCCCTTTCTTCTTGTACCAAATTGGGCCCTAAAGATGAGGGAGAGCCACGAATATTCGTGGGGAAGGAACAGAAACCACCGCCATCGGCATTAAAAGCGTTGGGATCCATTATTAACGGAAGGACTTGTATTTTTAACTTAATAAACTAAAAGATCAGATTTAATAAAAAGGAGAAAAATTGGAAGGACCAAATTCAAGATATGATGAAATACAAGGATTCGCAAATTAATTTTCTCTTACTGAAATGCATTTAATAAAAAAATAATGATAAAAAATAAAATCCATGTTTTTTCTTTAATTTTCTTCTCTTCTGTGTAAGACATGATCATTGATATAGATATTACATAAATATATGTATATGTATGTTTATCAAGTTATTATTTAAGAAAATTTGTTAAAAGTCCCTATTTGAAAACTTAATTGACTAAAAAACACCTAAATTTGAGCGAGTACAACTATAACCTGTGAGTACTAATTTTCTTCCTCCATGTTCAAGATATCATCAATGATATGCAACAATAATTAATATATAAATTATTTGAACACATCAAAAGATATGTTACACCTAGCAAAAGAAAAGTTGTACTCACGGATTATAATTACATCCGCTCAAATTTAGGTCGTTTTAGTCAATTAAGTTTTCGAATATGGATTTCTTTTACGAAATTTTCTTTTATGTGCACAGCTTATTTTAGTGCAGAAACACATTTCTTACTTTTCATGCAAATATAAGTTTATACTTTTCATGTCATAAATCTAAGAACTAGTTACAGAGTTGATTTTAGTTCTAAATGTAATATTTCAATCCATTTTTAATTATACCTCATATTAATCATTTTTCCAAATAAATTTATCTAATTTATAAACTGGTGTATAATCTAATGTTATATAGGGATATTTTAAAGATATTATCTCGCATTTGTTATAATTAAGTAAAGCCAATGTATAGGTTTACTCCTTCAAGTTTCAATATAGTTATTTTATAAAGTATATTCTTTAATCTCAATACCATTAGTCTCGTTAATAGAAAATCCTGACTTAACGAACTTAAATGATCACAAAACTTCCTTAAATTTTAATCTTTTAATATAAAAATTTTTATTTCAAAATTAACATATTTATTCCATAAATTTTATTGTGAAGTCTCCATCCACATTTGTTGCGCCAACATTTTAATCATGTTAATATAAAAAGATTAAAAATAAATTTTATAAATTTAAGAGACTAAATCAAAATTTGATGTAAAATTAAAGGATCAAACATATATTTTAGTCATTAAGTAATTTATTTAGCTTGTTTAATCAAGCCAAATTAATTAAGCAACTTTTACGTTAAGGACCAAATGTGAATACATGCTTGTTACGGGCTGGTTTGTTGATGATATAGATATATATCGTGCTTACTTTCTGGGATTTGGTAGGTATAAATGACTCTATTGGTAGCAAAAAGAGTTTGAATAGCTACATTTTTTAATAGGCCATAAAGTATTCAGAGATCAAAGAAATATAAATTTTATAAATAATATAATATTTCACATGATATTTGTCATTTCCTACCGCTCTAATACCATATGCATCCCTTGGTTTCAACTTGCAAATAAAGAATTAAAAGTTACACTCCAAGTAGAAGTACGCATAGAGATAAATGTGATGTTATGACTTATTTTTCAAAAGTAAATCAAATGATTATTCTTATGCGTAAAAGCGACTGCCCGTAATTATTTTTTTTCTTTTCTTTTATTGACCTCAAAGTCATTTTCTTATTATTCATTTGTTGTCTTTTCGTGAAGAGTTTATATATTGTTCTTCATTAGCATTGCATTTCAAAAAGAATAACATAGAGTGACTTCATAATTAATATTTTGTTGCAACTTGTTTCACGCACCTATTTGAGTTTTGGTTAAATCATGATTTATCAATTTTAATATATAATCTCTTGATCCTAAATGTAAAACCTGGTTATGGAGTTAATTTTGATTCTCAATAGAGGACATTAATCAAGCTTATCTCTCATATTTATTATTTTTTTCCTAACTATTTATTTAACTTCTAAGTTGATATATGACATAATGGAGATCATGCCATATTTGTTAGAACTAAATAATTTATTCAGTTTCCTTAACCTATTTAAATTAGTTAAGTAATTTTTATATTAAACATCATATGAATACATAGTCTTTTGAAATATAAAAAGAATATAAAGTTTATTGTTTAGCTCAATTATCAAAAGTTTTTCCTTTTATAATACCTCTTCAGTTTGAACGTGAATGTTAAAATGACGTGTTTAAGCGGGATAAAAAAGAGAAGAAAATGTTGAAAAAAATAAAAAGCAGTAAAAGTAAAATTAAAAGGGACGCATACTAAACAATTTTATTATATATATCATCAATGCCACAATGGGGAGAATGGAACATGTTTATAGCCATACATACTAAATAACAAAGCCAACTTGGAACAGAATTGACCAAATAAATTAACGAAAAATGGGACTGGGGCCTCTAATATGCCTTTCTCTAATTTCTCCAACGCCATTTATAGTATTTCAACTTCCCAAATGTTTTTTCTTAATTTTTTTCTTTTGATCATTACATTCTACATAAACCTATTGACATTTTTGATATTTTATGGGCAAAAAATTGTGAAGTTTTGAATTTTTGATGATTTTCCAGGAACCAAATACTCTAAAATTATGCAATTTTAATTTATTCCTTTTAAAAAGTCATAAAAAAAAATTTCAAAACTGCGCTGCTTTTGGTCCATAAAATGCTGAAATGTCACTAATTTTATGAAAAACATTTGCGATGATCAAAAGAAAAACGACAAGAACATTTGGGAGGTTGAGAAGTTACAAAAGACATCAGAGGGCGAGACACATTAGAGAACTCAAACTCAACGGACACTTGGTGACCAATTGTTGAGAGATCATGTAAGTACTCTCTTATATTTAATGTAACAAAGCATACTTAAGATCATATGGTTTAGGGGTTTGATAGTTTCAGAGCAGAAGACTTTGGATAAG